TTTTTCGCCATTCCCCCATACGTAAATACATTGTCGAAGACGTAGGTGAAAGAGATAAGAGGTGGTGAGGATGGAAAAGGTAAGCGTGAAGGTGAAAAAAAAAATAAAAACACATTTGAAATAAGAATTTAAGGATAAGCTTGGGTTCGGTTAATTAAAATAAATCAATTAATCGAAGGAAACACTTTGCATAGGTATTTATTTTTTTTTCTTCTTCTTCTCGGAATCGTTATAATAAACATCACGCCTCGAAATTGCTCGATATACGAGTCCAAGCGCCTCCCTCAAGGTCAGGCCGCACCGAAATCTGCGCGCTCCATCAGTTTGCTACCGTTTATCGGAGAATTCAATCGTAAGCTAAAATTTGTTGAGAAAAAAAAATAATAACAAACACGTTACATAATTTGTAGCAGAATCTACAACCTTGATCCGTATATATATTTTTTTTATAATTGTATAAATAAAAATTGAAATATCGATACGATTTCGTATGCATATTCGAAAACTCTGCAATCGTTCCGTCAGACTTTATGGAATTTTTGTGTGTAATAATATCCGAACTAGTCACTTTCACTATTTCGAAAAAAAAAAATCAATATTGTTATTAGAACGGTTACGCAATGAAGCATCAGTAAAAAAAAAATAACGAACTATTCAAACATATCCTTAACCTAGGTCAACTTTTCTTTTTGCCGGTAAAACATTCATTTATATTTTTTTGTACGCGTACTGAGCATAACTAAATTTGCAAAAAAAAAAAGTAATATTAAAAATTGTTTTATAATAGAATGTACGTTGTGTATTACTTTTATTTGTATTAACGCCCAAGGCTCATATGGCATTTGACCTAAGCTTTTGCGCTCGTATTATATAAATTCCTTTCACTACTCCAAGCGAATACATAATAATAATTTCAAAAAAAAAATATCGATAATAGACATCAATTTGTATAGATAAGCCGCGAAACATTGCGGTTCACAAAACACAAAAGCGATTAACTAATATCCTGGAGAAATGCGCGGACAATTTTATATATAATTAACGGATTTATATAGAATGAAATATAAAAATTTCGCGGTAAATATACGTAATAGTTATAATTCAAAGTGAATAACGAACGGTATTTACATGCGTTGTTGCAACAAAGTGGATATTATAATTACATGCAACTGGATATGCGAGAGCAAATAACGAAACAGTAATGCAACCTTTACGTAAACAGAGTAAATTGACTGGGAAACGGTAGTTCCATCTGGCGGCGGCTGTGGTTGTGGCAACGAGACTGCTCCACTTTTCAAAATTAATTGATCTTGCCTATTTCTCGCCGTTATTGTTCTTTCTAATTGTAGAAAACTCATCAATATGCATGAGCCGAACTGAAAACAATAAATAGAAAGTCGAGTATCAATGACAAAGAATAAGAATTTAAAAAAAAATATATAAGAGATTGAAAGAAAAGTCTTCGGTTTCTTTCGTCCTTAATGATTCACCTCAGATTATTGTTTTATAATGAACATTTTTTTTTATAGTTTTTAATAATAATTTTCTTTGTTAGTGGCGATTTCGATTTCAATTTCGTCCTTTTTTTGTGCAACGGCTGTGGTATATCGCGGAAACTGCGTTTTCACTCTGCGCTTGCATACATTATGGATGCTAATTGCGAAGCGTATTGCATTGGATTGTAT